ATCGGTGCTGAGCAGCCTTCCAACTTTAGCACCCTGTCTCGTGGCTTCCCCGCCCACCCATTCGCCGACGGCAGCGACCGCAGTCAGACGTCAAGCGCTGGCCCCAAACCCTACCCTTCGCTGTCTAACCTCACTGGCTGGCCCGCCCCGAACCCCGTCGGCACGCCCGATCGTGAACGTCAGGGTTTCCCCGGCGCCGCTTTCGGCAACTCGCTTTTCAACCCCATGGGCGGCGAGCTCCAGTCTCCCGGCCTGTCCAGCATTGGTGGTGGTGTCTTCGGCCCCCCGAGCGCTGGCGGCATCGGTGCCACCGGCTCTCTCGGCCGCAGCAAGCTTGGCTCCCTCTTCCCTGCTGCGATGCAGGCGCAGATGCAGGGCCACGAGCAGCACGAGAACCTGAGCGACTCCCTTCCCGATCTCCGCCAGAGCAACCCTCTTGGTGCTATTGGCCGAAACAACTTTGCGCCCCATCGCGAGACCGAGAGCCCCATGCGCACCGGCCGCGGCGTCTTTGAGGATCTGTTCCCCTCGTCCGCCGACAGCCGTGCCCACAACAACGTGTTTGGCACTCCTGGCGAGATGCCCGGCGGCCCTCTCAGCGGCGGCCCGCAGTCGTACACCCCGATCAACACGTCCACCTCGGACCTACCGTCTAACCAGCAGCGCCAGATGGTCATGCCTGATCGTATGAGATGGGTGTACCTCGACCCTCAAGGTCAAATCCAGGGTCCCTTCACCGGCCTCGAGATGAACGACTGGTACAAGGCCAACTTCTTCACGCCGGATCTGCGCGTCAAGAAGGTCGAGGACTCCGATTTCGAGCCCCTTGGCCAGCTGATCCGGCGCATCGGCAACTCCCGCGAGCCGTTCCTCGTCCCCCAGATTGGTGTTCCTCACGGCCCCCCTTCCGCCAACGGTCCCTTCTCGCCTGCCACTCCCGGTGGCGTCGTCCCTCCCCTCAGCGGCCTTTTCCCCAGCTTTGGCCGTACCCTCACCGCCGAAGAGCAGAACAACCTCGAGCGTCGCAAGCAGGAGGAGCAGTTCGCCATGGCCCAGCAGCGCGAGGTCATGATGCGTCAGCAGGCCATCACCAGGATTCAGCCAGGTGGTATTCAGGGCTCCCTGCACCACCATTCCAGCGCTCACAGTCTGCAGAGCCAACCTAGCTTCGACAGCATCGCCTCCCCCATCGGGGCTCCCCTCCAGCACGCCCCGCGACCAGCAACATGGCTCCCGGGTCTGGATACTACGT